CCTGCTCCTTGCCCGGGGTGCCCGTTCCCTCCGCACAGGGCATACACCAGCACCACGCAGGGCCGTGGGGACAGAAGTCGTGCTGAGCACAGCCCCCCATGCCAGGCTGGATGTCAGCCCAGAACACCCCTGCCCCGGCTCACCCGGATGCCCAGGGGAGATGCACGGTCACCTCAAACCATCTCTGCAAGCTGAGCTGTGCTTTTTGAGACTGGATGAAGCACATCGGCCTCTTTTTTTACGTCAAGCCTTTATTCCCATCACCCTCCTGCTGTACACAGCTACGTGCAGGCTGAGAGCAACTCCCTCTTCATTCAAAAGTAGGGTTTTTTCCATAGAAAATGCTTCCGCCTGGACCAGAAAACCTCTGACTGCCTCACTGAGAGCAGCTACAGGCAGAGCTGGGCACTGGGCACATCCCAGGCCAGCACCTCCCATGGGTTCCTCTACCAAATCTGCCAGTCCTGTGGCTTTCCTCACCCCAAGTCACACCTGGGGAGGCTGGGAAGGGCACCGAGGCTGGGGGTCCATGGCTCTGCCAACTACTGCAGCCAAATGGATGTGCAGGCAGAACCTGGGGAGGTCCGTGCCCAGGTACCACCCTGGCATGCTGCTGGGAACAGGGAGCGGTTGATGCCCGGGGCATTTCCTGAGAAGGGAAACCCCCATCTGCACCTTGGCTTTGTTTCTGGTGTGAGATGAGGGTGCCTGGTCTTGGGGGAGCGGGGCTCAGCTCACAGCTCCTCTGCTGCACTGGCCAGAGTCACAGCCCTGATGCACCAGGTCATCGTGCCCCTGGTAGTCTTGTTTTCCAGCAAAGGGCCCTCTCGAGAGATTTTTTTACTTTTTTAATGCATTTAGGGGCTCCATCTCCAGCACTAAGCCTCTGATGCTGGGAGGCTACTCAGGTAAAAGACACAGTAATGCAATAAGGGACTTAAAAGACAAACAGGCACTGAGGTGTGCCTGGCTTTCCTCACAGACCAGGCTGGGCGCTGAGCAGGCTGGGCACCCACTGCAGAGCCATGTGCTAAAGCTGGGCAAGCCTTTGGGGAGGAAGCAAGCAGCTCCCCTGGGCACCTGGAGCACCCCAGAAAGGCCTAGACATTAGGTGCTGGCACTGCCATGCTCCCCCCTCGGAGAGCCCCCTCCTTGTGCCACCCAGCCTGGCAAAGAGACCTGCCCCTGTTTTGGGGTTGCCCCGGTGTGTTGCTTTTTAAATTCATCCTGTCCCTGGTGCCACCAAGAGCTGGAGAGGACATTCCTCCCAGGCTGAGCTATCCCCCTGCCCAGAGAAGCAGGGAAGGGGTGACGTGATGGTAGTGGGATGATGCCAGCCCTGGCAGCGGGCCTGGGAAACTGCCTCCGTGATGGGGCACACCCAGGAGACAGGTACAGACAGGCAGGGGCAGCCACCTCAGCCGGCGGCAGAGGTACCTGTGCATAAAAAGCAACTTTCACTTGGCAGAGACTTTCGGAAGCAAAACACAGCCCACGCACGTTCCCAGCACACCCCCCACGCTCCCAGACCCACCAGCTACCCACCATCAGGGCAGCCCAGTGCTATCTTGGACCCGTACTGGGCTTATTCATGGCTATGGTCATTTGCCCTCCTGAGCCTGGAGATCACCACAGCTCCAAAGCAAGGTGCTCCCCAAAAATAGGCTGGAAAATAATGCTAGGAGGTTATGCCCGGGGCAGGAGGAGCCAGGCAGCATACCTGAAGATATCTGGCATAGGAACGCTACAGGGAAAGTGTCTCTTTAGGGACAGGTCTGCTCTGCAAAGGGGTCAGGGTTTGCAAAGCGTGAGTTCTTGAGGGAATTTCTCCCTGCTCACAACACAGCCCTATCCCCACTGGGGTTGGCCCAGGTGCCTTTCAGCAGCACCCCAGCATGGGCAAGAGCTGCCAACACAAGCCACCCTCCATGCTTGTTCCCACCAGCTCTTTCACCCAGAGGAAACCCTGGGCTGTGGGAGCCTCAGGGTGATGCCGAGACTTCCACCACAAAGCTGGAAGAAGGCAGGAGTGGACTGGAGCCTCCCTGCTCCACACCCCTGGGCACGCCAGCCCTGTCTTCACCAAGGACCAGCACCTTAAAGATGCCCAGAGCCACCCCCCACGCAGGATGAAGTCCATCCCCCACCCCAGGAATCTGCTTTTCTCCTCCAGGGAGGTGCAGAGCCCACTCAGGGAAGACCATGGAGGTGTTTGCAAGAAACCTCCCCACCCAGGTGTCACGAGCAGCAAAAGGCCTCAGCCTCCAGCCCAGCCCAACAACAGCACTCATACCTCCAGCCAAACTTCTTTATTTCCATCCAGTTTCACCACTGGTACAGAAGATACAAAATGTGAAAACAAAAAAATAGGATTTGTTGTGCCCCCCACCCCCCATCCCCGAAGCGTGCTGGCTATTTACAGGCGCAGGCGAGCGGCTCCGTGGCAGGGGCTGGCCGCTGCTGCGGG